TCCTAGATCATTAAAAGTACTCAAAGTGACTCGAAGATTTTTTGTTTATTTTTGATAATAAAGTTTACATTTTTCTTTTTTATAGACATTGGCTAAATTATTTTTTTATTATTCCATTCAAATTAATTTATATTTTAAAATTGCCTCATTTAAGCTAATTTAAGTAAATATTTACTCTTCAATTATTACACATAGTATAAATATAACTTTGTCTATTACGTTCTAAACAGAGATCTCGCTGCAAAATGATTTCCACTTAACGAGCTCACACTGTATTTATCTCTAGTTCCCCTTATTTGCTGATCCAAAAATAGAGACTTTCAATTAAGAGATCAATTTATTCTAACCTTTTTCAAATGCAAATCGCTTTAGTTTTGCAGTCATTTCCCATTCCTCATGCTCCCCTTCTCCCACTTCCCCTTTATATACTTTTCTATATACAGTTATTTGACCCTATTAACTGCGCTCGCCCGTTATATACCAAAAAAAAAAAAAAGAGGGAAAAGAAACAACAAAACTTTTGATTAGCTAAATGCCAATTGGAACACGAAATCGCCATCGAGCAAATTGCGCTGCGCTGCGCTGCGTTCGGCTGCGTTTTCAATGCCAATAAGAAAGTCGCGTGCAAAAAAAAAAAAAAACAACGGTTTATAACATATTTATGAGTGCTTTATATACATATAAAAGTTATTCCTGTCTTTTTTTCATTGCCGTTCCTTTGTTGTTGTTGCTGCTGCTGCTGCCACACGTATCTGTTGCTTGAGGTAACTTTTTTTAGTATCTGGTTTGCCGATAAGCGCACAAAAATCATGTCGAACAACGCGAGCAACAACAACAACAGCAACTACAACAACTACAACAACAAGAGCAACAGCCGAAAAGGCCGACTGACGATTTTGTTTACATTTTTGGTATTGTTGTTGTTGTTGTCAACAGATTTTCTAATAAACCATTTAGAACCGGTTTTCCATTTTTGTGTTACCCATTTGTAATGCAGAAATCTGGGGTAGATTGAAATTGAGTGCATGTGTAACACATATACTAGGTAAATTATATACATACATATATGTATGTATTATTAACTTGTTGAGGTCCCTAGTATAGATTCTCTTTTTTTCTATATAGACTTAAAAATAAGCATAGTCCAAAATCTACATATAAATAACTAGTTAAACCCTAATTTTTTATTTAATTTAATTAAAATAAACTAAGAGTTAATTTTAATTAACAGCTAAAAACAAAATATGTCAATCAAACATATTTCAATTTATTTTTTAATTTACAGGGTATTCTTCAGCTGGTCACTCTAGTACAGGGCTCTCTTGTTTTTCCATCTTTTTTTTTGTGAACGGTTTCGGCTTTTGGTTCTTTTTTTTTTTTTTTTTTTTTGCTTTTGCTTTGGTCGCACTACCACGAAGAAGAAGCAGCTATGGCAGCGGCAGATTTGGGAGCATCAAATTTCATGCTGCACACACACGCACACATACATATGTATATATGTGTGTGTGTGTAAAATAAGCTCGTTTTAAACAAAAACGAAGCTCTTTCATTTTTAGGGACAGGAATAAAGAGTACAACAATGAGCAACACTTCAATGGACTGGCAAGGGGTTAGATTTTCGGTCATAGATTAGCATAAAGCACACACTTACACACACACGCGCATGCATAGGTAACGAAAGCAAACCACAATGCCCAATAACATTAACAGCGCACACAGAAAGACTGAGTGGCAGAGRCAGAGGCAGAGGAAGCAGAGCAAAACCACTTCTTTCCCTTTCTTTCACTGCATTCAATTAATATAGCGTTGAATATCTGGCTATTGAAAGTTCAAAAAAGCTAGGTAAGTCTAGAAAAAGGCCAATAGGCCTCTATTTACTGTCAATAAATAATAAATAATTTAATGGGACTCTGACTAACTAGCATTAAATAATATTAAAAACTCGTTTGTATCATTTCATTATTTTATTTCATTCTAAGCTAATAAGTATTTTAGCTTTATTCGGCTTTCAAATTCTGGCAACACTGTTGTTGTTAGTAAACCGTTCCCACTCCCTCACACACACACACACATGCACTCACACACGCGGACTCACCTTCAATGCAAACGACGTGATCGCGTATCTGTTGGGCAATCTGCGCGTCCGGCATAGGCAGCAAATCGATTAAATCGTAAATAGCATAAATCGATGGATGAACGCTCTCGAAGCGCTGTATCTCCTGCCTTATGGCCAGCGAATTGCTTATCAGTGGCTGCGGCGGTTGTGCTACCAAAATTGAGGCAGCAGCAGCGGCAGCGGACGCTGCCGACGTCGATTGACATTGGGGGGTGGCTGTGGGCGTATGCCGCTGCTGTTGTTGTTGGGGCAGCGCTGCCGCCGTCGCTGTCAACTGTAAATGTGGCGGTTGATGATGAAGCTGTTGTTGTTGCTGCTGCTGATGATGATGATGAAGATGTTGATGATGATTCTGCTGCTGTAGCTGATGTTGCAACTGCAGTTGCTGTATATGCGACTGATAATTGCTCATTGCTGACGAAATTTAGCCAACGTTCTTTAAATTAACTTCAATTACTTTGCCCGAGATGCCGATAGAGAGCCCCAAAACACAAAAAAAATAAACAACGTAAACTAAACGCGCACTCTCACATACACACATACGACGCACACGCACACGTACACGCACAGGCAATGGCACAGTTTTCGCTATGTGTGTTGACAGCGCCGAGCAACATATTTGCTATACAGCAATTAGGCAAACAACAACAATTGCAAATTGCGAACAACGAATATTGGATATTTTGCACCTGTTTCACACATAAATAACGATTTTAAAAAACGCACTCGGGGAACACTTGCACTGGCTGCGGCCCGTGCTCAAGCAATAGTGTGACCAGAAATGGCTAATGGAAAAACGCGCAAGCACACATACTTAAAAGCCCGAATATACCAAATAAGAACCGAAAGCAAAAGGCATCGAGTAGTTCCTGCCGCTGCGCATGTCGTAATATTAACAACAAATTATTATTAATTAAAAGTGTAGTAAAATGGCCCAAAGTAGACTGGAAAAAATCGGCACCATCTTCACCAGGTAAGTGCGAGCAGTGCCTGGTGAAATGCGAATCATTTAATGGGTTTTGTCATAGAGTGCAAGGCCTGTTGCGCGGTGGCGCTATGAAAGCAGAGGATAAACCCATTTGGTACGACGTCTATGCGGCTTTTCCCCCCAAACTGGAGCCCCGCTTCGACAGGCCCGCTTCCAATGAGCCAGTGCGCAACATTTTCTATGCCGAGGATGTGGTCCGAGCGTGAGTATAAATACCTACATTAATTGCCCTCAAGTATAATGTGTATGTTTGCCATCACGTAGAAAGTTGCACAAGCAGAACAAGCCGCATGAGACGATTTCGCTGTTTGATCACAAACGCCGTACACAAAGTCAAGAGTTTGTGCAGATCTACGATCAGCTGAAGTCGCAGGGCGCCTTGGATGAGCAGCGCATTTACGAAACGGCGCTCGATTTGCTCGCCGAGCAGCGGCAAAAGTCGCAGCCCGAAGCAATCGAGGAGCAACTACAGCTGGAGGAGCCCAACAGGAGCACGTTGCTCAGCGATTTCCAGGAGGCAGATCACCAAAAGCAGCAACAACAACAACAACAGCAGCAGCAGGAGTCACAGCAGTCGAAGTCAAGCAAAGTTAAACAGCAAGGCGTCAACATAAGCAGCTTGTTTAAAGATTGAGGTGTTATTTGTTTTATATTATAAACTAAATATACAAAAAAATGTTTTTATTGTGCTCTAAACTGCAAGTGCATCGTTCTGTGATTCGTGACTGAGCTGTGTCTGTAGATTAGAGAGCTTGTTCTTCAACACCTGGACACCCATGATGACAATATTCTCGGGCTTCAGTGCGCCCGAAGATTCCACATTGAAGAAGAACTTATTCGGTTTGGCCTCCCAGTTGTAGGGCGCCTCGTATTGATCGTCCTCCAGTTCGGTGTGCTCGCTCTTTGGCCACTCATCGGGCTTCGGGTAGAGAGTGTGACGCATCGAATTGTCTGGGTCGTATTCGAAACACACGCCCGCTGTGGGATTCCATTTGGCGTGTTCCTTGCCAAATCCCTTCTTTGCATAAGCGCGCAGCTTCAACTCCTGACCCTTGCGTAGCTTAATTATGAGTATCTCATCGGTGCTCTCGCCATATTCGTTGTCTTCCTCGCCCTGATTACGCGACGTCACAGGCAACACCTTCGCATTGCTCGACTTAAGATCAGCCGTTGTCACGTGTCGCGTTTGCTCCTCATTACACTTGACATCGAGCGTGAACTCGACGCTGCACTCGGGACAGAAGTCAAGGCAGATACAATCGCGTGTGTACTGCAAACGCTCCACCACATCGTCGGATATTAGTGGGATTAGACCAATGCGATGGGCTAGGAACTCATCTGATAGAACTGTAGAATTAGCCTCCAGTTGCACCCAGTCGATGGCTAGCGTCGGCGTTTCGGCAATGAAAACGCGTCGCAGACTGTTTGCAACGCTCAATTCGGTATCCTCGAGCACAAACTTGACATTGTCGTCCGTCAATTCGGTTATTTGCACGGATGGTTGATTGGCATACGGCATTTTACTGTACTTAAAGAAAATAAACACACAATAGCGCTAAAATGAAGCAGACCGGTCAGAGTTGACTGCTCGATAATCAACTATCGTTCGTCATTAATGGCATACTCGATTAAATAGGGCAAATACGATAGTTACTTAAAAATATCCTTAAGCGTAAAAAATATTGAATAGCAAGTGCATTTTATATTAATATAAAACTGAATTAATAGGAAGCTTTATATTAAAATTTTTATTTAAGCTGGTTTTGTATATATTATACACTCAATGCCC